TTTCTCTGCAGATTAAGCAGCAATTTGCATAGCCCCTTATTCATTCCCACCTTCCCCGTGGGGCGGCTTGTCCTTTCAGACACAGCCAAGCGCAGCCCGGCTGCACCGCTTTGACAAATGGCTTTGCTGCGCGTGGTTTGGGGAGAGGGAGGGAGGGACAGGCCGGCCGGGAGGGAGAGGGCAGCTCCCGACAGTAATGGATAGCTGGGGCGTTAAATAGTGCAGAACTTTTTATTAGACACACAGGAGAAGTTTAAATATTCCAACTGGTTTTCTTTTGAAGTCCAGAGAAGGCGAGGAGGAGGGTGGTGGCAGCGAGATGAGGAAGAGTTGACGCGGGGCCAGTTTCCTCAGCTCCCTCTGGCCGCCACCTGAGAGGAAGGGCATCTGGAGGTCAACGGCATCCGCGGGCTTCAGGCACACGGGCCCTGGAGCAGGCCTGATGCTCTCCTGCTGGGCGTGGGATGTGCCAGGCAGGCGCCAGCCTGGAAGCTGCTCCTCAGAGCCAGATCCCAGGGGCTGCTCCGAGACCCGCCTCTGGGCAGCTTTCAGGAAGCGGGGCTGACCCGCTTCATCAGCAAGCCGGGGTCTAGAGGGCGAGGGACTCTCTAGAAGGTTGGAGTGTTGCCCCCTCTCCCCCCACTCCCAAAAGAACCTTCCACGGGACAGGGGAGGAAGGATGAGGCCCGGATCCTCGACGTGGCAGCACTCACTCGTGGAGAGCTGGCAGAAGGGATGTTAATCTATGTGTTTCATTTGAAAAGCTTCCTTCAGCAGTTTTCTTCCCAGATATCTAGAGCTCCGTGACACTCTTCCTATATATATATTTTTTTGCTAATTCTGTGAGCCACAGGATCGTATTTTAGTGCCTGGAATCATCTGGGAGATCATTAGGACAATTGATGTTGAAAAGTCTGAGACTCCGGAGCCAGCCTGTAGCCAGCTCACAGGGTTGGAGCTCGCGTTTTGCAAGCGGGAACCCTGGGTTCAGTCCTTGGCACTAAGTGGTCCTCTGGGAACCGCCGGGAGTGACCCCCAGTACTGACCACAAAAATGATCAAGACACAGAAGTGGGCCAGTTTGGGGCACAAACTCTGGGGGTTGACGGCCGGCAGGGGTTCCTGAAGGGCATCTAACACGTGGCTTAGGGGAGGTGCTGATGCGGAAGGGACTGCGCATGCGTACAATGATGCTGAGCCGCCTGGGTGCCCAGCCAGGTCAGGAAGGCTGGGAGGGGAGGGGAGACCGGAGTTTTGGGCATGGAGGAGGGCTCGGTGTCCTGGTGGGCACCCAGGCTGGAAAGGTGGTGGGGTCCCAGTATCGAGGGCTGGACTGAAGAAAACTGGGAATTCAGGGAGTTAAGGAAGCATCGGAGTTTCTAAGCAAGGGAATAACAAAGGCAAAAAAGTCCCTGAGCAACGTGGCACATGGGAGCAGAGCTGAAAGCATCAGCGAGGAGGCAGTGTGGGCAGCTGGGTTTGGTTTGGGATCCCGGACAGACGGGGTCAAGACCTGAATGCGCTCCTGGCTTCAGAATATTCCCACGTCTCCACCTCATGACAGCTGGGATCCGAATCTCACTGTGCCCTGTATAGACGAGGGCTCTGCCGCACGCTGCCGCTCTCTGTGCCAGTGGCAGGGGCTGCGTCTTCACTGCACAGGTGAAGGAAATGAGGCACAGAGAGGGCTCGGGCTTTGCCCAAGCTCAGAGGCGGCCAGGATTCGACCAGGTGTCCAGGTCCAGAGAAGGCAGGCTACCTGCGGTATTCCTTTGCATGTGACTCCCACATTAACCCAGTCATTAGACTGATCATGTGTGTATGTTGCCAGGGTGGCAGCGGGGGGTGGAAGAGGAAGCAAGGGACAGCTGAAAGGAGGGTTAGGGGCCCAGAGCACACTACAGGGCACTTGCCTTCCATGTGGCTGACTCAGGTTCAATCCCCACCACCCCAAATGGTCCCCCCAAGCCCACCAGGAGTGTTTCCCAAGTGCTGAGCCAGGAGTCAGCCCTGAGCACCACTGGGTATGTCCCCAAACATAAATAAATAAATAAATTAGCAGCACTGCACTGTAGCACTGTCCTCCCGTTGTTCATAGATTTGCTCGAGCAGGCCCAGTAACATCTGCATTGTGAGACCTGTTGTTACTGTGTTTGGCATATTGAATATGTCATGGGTAGCTTGCCAGGCTTTGCCGTGTGGGCAAGATACTCTCGGTAGCTTGCCGGGCTCTCTGAGAGGGGCAGAGGAATCGAACCTGGGCCGACCGGGTTGGCTGTGTGCAAGGCAAACGCCCTATCCGCTGTGCTATCAATAAAAAGGAGTGCTGGATAGCAGGTGAGCATAAAAAGGCAATGAAGATCCACGGGACTTCGTCCTATAGGGGAGATCAATGAAAACAGATGGGACAGACAAGGCGGGCACACCCCAGTCGGCAGCAGGACCCCAAGCGTGGAAGCCGTGCCCTCCTCCCGCTGACCTGGGGTCTTCCTGGTCTTCGGCTGCAGCCAGGGCTTTGAGACAAGCTGTTCTCTAGGGGCAGGGATGCCAGTATTTGGTCATCATGAAGTAGAGAACTCCCTGTCCTCCACAGGCGGGGGAAACCTAGCTCTTCCAGGTGGTAAGACCTCACACCACCCCACATCTCTCCAGCAAGGCTTTGGGGCAGCCAGCACTCTGACAGGCCGCCATTAGCCTTTCACATGGCCCATGTTTATGGTCAGCCATGGCAGGCGGCAGCACAAAGGGCTTCTCGCCATGGCCAATAAGGCGAGTCCACTTCGGGAGCCTCAGTGGACATGTAGGAAGGGGGCTGAGCCAAAAGCCTGTGTGTGTGGGCAGTGGCTGGGTTTAGTTGGGGGAAAGGGGCTCTGGCCATTCTTGCTACAAAGTGTTTTGGATCTTCACCACCAAGAGGTGGCATAAAGCTACTGGTGAAGCTGAAAGATTCTTGGCCCACCTCCTCGCTCTCCCTGAACACTTGTTTCTCGATGACTCTGGAAACTGGAATGCTCAGAATTCAGTTTTCAAGCTCCATAAGCTCGACTCTCTCATTCAAGCAAGCAAGCTGGGCCACATGGGGAGTCTTTGGTGATGCTTCACATATCAAACCAGAGGTCCCACTTGTCCAGTGAGCCCTGACTGTGGGTCGGGCACTGAGCCAAGGGATCTGACTCCTCACTCATTTGCTCGTCATAACCACCTCCAGGGCAATGCTGAGAAAAACGGGCAGGAAAGGCGATGCAGAGAGTCCGTCCAGGCGGACATGGAGGATGGAGCAGCACCCCGCGGGGTGATGCCTCCTCTTCATCAGGGAGACCCCGGAAGCAAAGAACAGGGTGGAGGGCACACAGGACACAGGCTCTGGGGGACAAACCACTGATACGGGCTAAAGGCACGTGAGATACCAAAGGGCTGGCAATATCTCCACCATCAAGCACTCGCCCTGCATGTGTGAGGTACTAGGTTCTATCCCCAGCCTAGGAAACAATAAATAACCCCAAGAAGAAACCACGTAGAGCCACCTAGGAGTCAGGAGAGGCCTTCACCCCATCAGGTAAGCAGCAGAGTTGTCACACTCCCCTTAACCACGTCACCTACTAAGGTGTCGACTCCTCGTGCAGAGGCGCAGGCCTCTCAGCACACTTGCTCCCTGTGGCCCCAGAAAGGCCGGGGGTGGACAGTGAGCTGCTCCCTGCAAGAGCAGAGCTCTGGAGCCCTGACCCCAGCCTGCCACAGGCACATGATCCCATAGCCTTTCTCCCTAAAGCTCTGCAGGTAGGAGGAAGCGTCTGTGTGGCTGCTGGGATTGGAGGAAGGGCCCGGGTGTGGGCAAGAGTGGTACCAGCTTGGGGAGTTACTCTGAGGGGTCAGCCAAGATGGGGCTGACGGGGTTCGCCAGCAACCGAATAAGGGGGGATAGGAGGAAAACAGGACCACGAGAGGCAGCCAGGGTCCAGGGGCCGCAGCCAAGGGCGGGGCACACCTGCTTCTCTGAGGATGGTCCATCTCACCCGTCCACATCAGCCCTCTCCCTTTGGTCCCTAGACTTTCAGCCCCTGGTCCCCCCAAAAGGAGGTGACCAGGCAGAGACTGGGGGGAAGCGATGGGCTGACATTAATTGATAGGAGCGGCTCCGAGCAGTTCATGCTGCCTTATCTCCCTCTCCTTTGGAGAGCGTGTGTCCGCCGGAGTCCGCGGGGTCGGTGATTAATAGGGGCCATCACTCACTGTCCAGGACGGCTGAAAGGCAGCAGGGAGGGGGCGGCCCTCCCCAGAACTGAGATAACAAGCAGCAGGAATAATGAGTGGTGTCACTCCACTTTTCATTTTGATGGAAAGTCATTACGGGAGTCAACGCCAGCGACAAAGAGCCATGAATCAACTGCTCTGCTATGAAATTAAAATCGAATTGCCGGCCACCCCCAACCCCTGCCCTTCCTGGGAAACGGGGATGGGGAGGTGGCTGGGGAGAGGGGTGCTATCCAGGGCTGGGCTCCACCCAATCAGAGCGCGGGCGGCTGCGGGTGGGAAGTGGATGGGCCCGTGAGTGGAGGTGATGACTCCCATCTCCACCTCGTTTATCGGCCCCTTCCTCCCGCAGTTGCGTTTCCCTGGGCCTGGAGGTAAGCTCTGATTAAAAGGAGAACACGGCTCTGCGCCCCCCACCATGCGGCCGCCACTTCACTGCGCCCCTCGCGCCTATGGTCTGAGTAGGGTGGCCTGGGCTTCCTTGGGTGGCCAAGGAGAGAAAGGTCCAGGCCATCCAGCTGCCCTCCCCCACAATCCCCCACCCAGTGTAGCCACTGGTCGAAATTAAACTGGAAGCCTCCCCGTCACCAGATGCCAAGGGGGCCAGGTCCTGGGCCAGGCCTGGGGAGCCAAAGGGATGGAGAACCACAGAAACACTGCCCGGACCCTCGACTCCAGGCCCACAGAAGCAGCAGCCAGGGCCAGGGGAGCTGAGTCTCTTCCTCCTTTATTCAGACAAATTTGCCCACAAGAAAGCGCAGAGGCTACAGTGAGTGGGCAGGTCCCAGGGTCTTGGGGCTCCCGCATATGGCCCTCTGTCCACCGGCTGCCAACTCTGCACACTGGCCCAGTCCACCCACTTCCTGGAGGCCAAGCAGGCAGCTGCAAAGGAGGCCAAGGGCGTCACACGGTGGTCCCCATCAGGTTCACCGGGCGCCCGTTGTACTTCTTGGAAATGTCGGCTTCGATCTGAAAGACGGCAGGCGTGTGAGCAGGGTGGTAGAGCGGAGAGACGCGGGGCCCCTCCCTGATCGCCTGCGCCCCCCCCCGCACCCCACCCGGCTCACCAGCCTCTGCAGCTCCTTGGTTTTCTCCAGCAGCAGGTCGAGCCTGGGCTCCAGGGCGGCCTGTTCCTGCAGGGCTTCCTGCTGCTTCTGCACCATCAGCTCTTTCTTCAGTGCCAGCAGCTGCGACTGCTTCAGCTTCTGCTGCAGGAGTTCTGTCACTCGGTCCACATACCTGAGTGGGGCAACCTGGTCGGCATGGTGCAGCTCTGCCCACTCGGGAACTCCAGCCCCGACATGGCCTCTCCATCCCTGTGGCCTCCCATCATTCTTGGCGAGAAATTTTAGCCACCCTGGGTTCGCTGAGCCTACCAGCAATGCAGGCTCTGTGTGTAGCCGTCAAAGCTGCCCCAGCTTGGTGCTGGAGTGATAGCACAGCAGGTAGGGCGTTTGCCTTGCACGAAGCTGACCCAGATTCAATTCCCAGCATCCCATATGGTCCCCTGAGCACTCAGGAATAATTCCTGAGTGTAGAACCAGGAATAACCCCTGTGCATTGCCGGGTGTGACCCAAAATGAAAAAAAAAAGCGCTACTCCAGCTTGTCCCCCCAAAGGACCCACTGTTCCCCCCTGGGGCGGGGCTCCAAGGGGAGGCAGGGACGAGGTCTGAGGGGTCAGAGAGAAGGAGAATGGAAGAATCGGGGTTGAGTTCTGGGCCGGGGTGACAGGGCATACGCTGTGCATGCACGAGGCCGGGGTTCCATCCCTGATGCTGCACAGTCCCATCAAGCACCACTGGGAGCAAGCCCCTGAGCACTGGTGTGGTCTCAAACTGAAAGAGCCCATCAAGGGGAGAACCAGACCTGGGGGAGGCCAGAATCATGAACAAGTGCTGCATCCGGAGGTTGGTCAGTTGGCCAATCAGATCCTGGAGCACCGACACCATGGCAACCATCTTCACCTTGGTCTGGCCCTGCAGGACAGCAGGAGCCAGCTGGAACTGGCTCACGGACAGGATGTCGGCCTCCTCGCCCATCTCCACAGCTCTCTGGGACAGGAAGATCTCCAGCTGAGGACAGATGAGGGATTGGGTCAAATGGGAAACCAGACTTGGGAGCGAAGTCCTTGGACTGCTCGCAACACGAGAGCAAGAAGCGAGGGTTTTAGCGGGCTGGGAGGGCTGTTTTCCTCTGAATACACTTTCCCTGCTCTAAATCGAGAGTTGACAACAGCCCCCACTCTCTCCCCTCGGACCCCCGTACTATGTCCAGACTTATTTGGTGCTGGACCTCCTCATTTCTCCAGAGTCTGAGGCTGCCCTGTCCACTGGAGGCAGTCTGTCTCCTCAGGAGGATGTGCGGGGCACATGCTCTCTGTTGGCTGATGCCAAATGGCTTGCTCTGTGCCTGCCAGTCTCTGCACATAGAAGCCGCCCCAAAGACCCTCCCTTCCCTCCCCAGCTTCCTTCTGCTCTGGGCATTTAGGTTAATACCGAATAAGCTGCATATGCTATTTGTCTGGTTTCTTGGTTGCCTTTCCCATTAGAATATCAGCTTCCTGAGGTCAAGGTCTGTGTCTTATTCTTGGCTCAATCTCTAGCATGGGAGAGTGCCAGGAAATCAGGAGTCGTGTAACAAATACCTGCTGAATGACATGGGGCAAGGGGGTTCTGACAGGTAAGCCCCTGCTCCAGAACAAGGAAAGGGCACCGCATGTCCCTAAGCAGGAAGGTGGGGTGAGGTATTTGGGTGGTGCTGCCTTTGCCACTCAGGCCACCCGCCCTTCTCCCGAAGGATGGAGGTACCTCCATGAGCTCATCAATGAACTGATTCCGGGTCTCCGGGTATTCAAGAAGTGTCAGAGCATCCGGACCTCTCGCCACACCTTCTGGAGCTGGCAGGAGAGAGGCAAGAAAGTGAAGCATGGGAGAAGCCCCTGAGCATGGGAGAAGACCCTTGAGCATGGGAGAAGACCCTTGGGCCTGGAAGTCTAGTGTGTTAGTAAGGACACAGATTCGATGCACTCAAGTCACTTTCTTTTCTTTTCTTTTTTGGTGGTGGGGCAGGGGAGTTTAGAGGAACATCTGGTTATACTCAGGGGCTTTGCACTCAATTAAATCACTCCTGGTGGTGCTTGAGGGATCCTATGAGATCCTGCGGATTAAAACCAGGTCTGGGGCAGAAGAGATGGTACAGCAGGTAGGGCGCTTGCATTGCTTGTATTGCACACAGTTGACCTGGGTTCAATCCCCTGTACCACAAATGGTCCCCGGAGCTCGCCAGGAGTGATCCCTGAGTGCACAGCCAGGAGTAACCACTGAGCATCACTGAATGTGGCCCCCAAAACAAACAGCAAACAAAACAAAACAAAACAAAAATGAGCCCAGAGCAATAATACAGCAGGTAGGGCACTTGCCTGCTCACAGCTGACCTAGGCTCGATCCTTGACCCACCAAGTCCACCAGGAGTGATTTCTAAGTGCAGAGCCACGAGTAACCCCTCAGCACCACCAGATGTGGCCCGAAAACAAGTGAACAAAAATCCCAGGTCACCACACACAAGGCGAATGTCCTGCCCGCTGTACTATGGCTTCAGCCCTCCAGCCACTTTCCGTCCCAAGCCAAGGGGGAGGTTTATCCTGGTCCACATGTCTCAGCCCTACAAGACAGGACTGTCAATCCCAGTCTGGGAAGCTCTGCCCGGGAGGGCCTGACGAGCCTGAGGTGGCCTCAAGAGGTGAAGTGTCGTCCTGCACTGCCCTCTAGTGGCTCTGAGCACCTCTACAGCCTCTCTGCAGGCGGGGAGAAAGGAGGGTCCTCAGGCACAGCTGGGGGCCAAACTGCTAAGCATTTCTTAGAGAAATAGACTGGATTTTAAGAATTTCACTTTTACATCAAGATTTTGAAAAAATAGTTGGCTTCTGTGAGAAGCAGATTTGTGTCTGCTGTTCTGGGACTATGAAGGGGCATCCGGTGAGCTGAGATGGCAGGGTCATCGTACACCTACCCTGGGTTCCTGCTTCTAGCACGGTGATCTGTGAGGCAGTGGCGGTCGCATCTCCCCAGTCGATCTCATCACTCACCGCTTCCTGGGTGGAGAGCAAAGACCCCGGCAGAGTTGGGAAAAAGGTTCCCAGCCAAGGGAGCAGAAATAATCCGCGGCAAGTTCACCCACTGCCCTCTTCAATGACTTGCAGCCCTGATACAAGTGGCAAAGATGGCAGCATGAGCTCATGCCTGTGCCACCCTCAGCCCTCTGTGGCACAGGTACTTCCTGTTTATACCTGACAACCTTGCCCAAACATGAGGAGAAAAAGGACCAGAGTGATAGTACTGTAGGGCACTTGCCCTGGCACATCATATGGTCACCTAAGTCCTGCCAGGAGTGATCCCTGGGTGCAGAGCCAGGAAGAAAGAAAGGAAAGGAAAGAAAATGAGGGGAAGAAAGAATGAAAGAGAAAGAAAGAAAGAAAGGAAGGAAGGAGGGAGGGAGGGAGAAAGAGAAAGAAAGAGAGAACGAGGAAGAAAGAAAAAGAAAGGAAGGAATGAAGGAAGAAAGAGAAAAAAGAAAGCAAGAAAAGAAAGAAGGAAGGAAGAAAGGGAGGGAGGGAGGGAAAGAAAAAAGACCAAAACTCTGACAATGTCACTTTGAAAGCTCCTCCCAACCCCAGCCTTTGGCTTGAGAGCCAGGACCTTAACGCCCCCACATGCTTGTTCTCTCCCCAATGCAGCAACAGTGGGCCCAGAGCAGCCTAACCTTTGAGTCAGATTCCAGCGAGATGCCCCAGTCGATTTCAGCAGCTTGGGCGGATATGCCCAAGTCTGCCCCTTCTGAAGCCACCTGGACCCCGAAGTCGCCCCAGTCAATCTAGAAGGAGAAGAAGCGTCAGCTGACGGAAGACAGGTGGGGGACAGGGCCATATGCACGCTGCTGCAATGTGATGCCATCTCCCGGCACCTGCCGGCACCGAGGTTTCTCTGCCATAAGGCAGCCCGTGTGCCAAGCTTCCTCAGCACTCACCTACGCTCTGGTCTCTGAAAGGTCAAGAAGGGCCAGACGTGACTCAAGTAGTATGTGGGAGGTCTGGGGCTCAACCCCCTGCCTGGCTGGGTGAGGGCTTGGTAGTCCCCAAGCACCACTGGGTGTGCTCACCAAAACAGAAAACCAAAAATAATCTTAAAAAGACAGGCTGGTGACACGGCTGATGCACCTGCTGTGCATGGGCGGCCCGGGTTCTGTCACTACCAGAAGACCATCCCCTCTCCCCTCCAGCAGCACAGCAGGAGTGGCCCTCAGCACCACCACTGAGCCCCAAAACAAAGCCAGGGAAATGAAAGAGTGCCCTCCCGAGTCCTTCCAGCACAGTGAGCGCACTTTTCTCTCCCCGACAATGTAGATCCTGGGGGGTTGGGGCCTGGGGTGGGGGTTGGAGCTTTCTTGGATCCTAACAGGACGTGGCTTTTTTTTTTCCAATTTTTTTACTTTTGGGGGGGTTACACCAAGCAATGCTCAGGAATTACTCCTGGTGGTTCACAGGTGGATGATACGGGATGTCGGGGATTGAACCTGAGTCGGCTGCATGTCAGGCAAGTGCCCTACCCACTGTGCTGTCTTACCGCGTCTTCTTCCACCTGCTCCGGAGGCTCCTCGAGGTGCGGCCGCTCCACCACCGTGGGTTCTGAGCCCGTCCTCCACTCGTACACTGTGCAGTTGCCCCGGGTCTGCACGAACCGCAGCATTGGCAATACTTGTTCGGTAGGGCTGCAGGGGCACACAACCCCTGAGGGTGTTGGGCCTGGTGCCAGCCTTGCAGGCGCAGGGCTGCATGCTCCACCCTCAGGGGCACCCCAGGTGTCCAGACTATCCTGGAGGCAGCACAAAGCACGTGGCCCCCAGTGAGCACACCTCCGAGAGGGCGCAGCCCTCAGGGATCACCACGACAAAGGGGTGGGAAGGGGAGGTGGGAAGGGAACACCCAAATGACCCTCCGGCTGCCCACTTATAAGGCTAGCACAAGGCTTCAGCTGAACCACACGCCCTGAGGGGCTGTTTTTTTTTTCTTTTTGGGTCACACCTGGCAATGCAGGGTTACTCCTAGCTCTGCACTAAGGAATTATTCCTGGTGGTGCTCAGGGGACCATATGGGATGGTGGAAATCAAACCCGGGTCAGCCGCATGCAAGGCAAAAGCCCTACCCACTGTGCTATCGCGCCAGCCCCATCTGTTTTGTGTTTTTTTTTTGGGGGGGGGATCACACCCAGCAACGCTCAGAAATTACTCCTGGCGGTGCTCAGGGGACCCTATGCAATACTGGGGATCGAACCTGGCAAATGCAAGGCAAATGCCCTCCTCGCTGTACTATGGCTCCGGCCCCAGGGCTCTGGGGGTTCAAGTGTGTAAAATAAAACTCCAATGCGATGTGAGAAAAATACCGAGAGAGAAGAGAGAGAAGCCGGGGTGAAGAGCTCAGCCCTCCCGCTGCCCGAGAGAAGCTGAGGTTCCTTTCACCTCTCACACACGAAGCCCACGCAGGCCTGGTAGAGGTCGATGGCTTCCCCCAGGCCCTGTGCCCCGGCCCCGATCTCCGCCAGCTGACTGGGCAGGTCTTTCACCAGGGACAGCAACTCTCTCCGGACATTGTCCCCCTGCACAGGACCCAAGAGATGGTTTGAGACAAAGGGCGGGTGGGGATGGAGGGGCAGGGGAAGAAGGGGGCCATGGAGAGTAACAGACATAAAATGGGACCCAGGTGAGCAACGGGCCCCCGCCAAGCAGGAAGCCTTGCCCGCCGCGCTCACCAGGATTCCATATTGCTTGCACGAGTGGTAGAACTGCTCCCGCATCTCCGAGGCCCCTGCCTGGCCCTCCTCCTCCTTGCGGCTGTATTCTTGCTGCAGCTGCTGGCACTTGGCGATCTGCTTCTTCAGGGAGGGGATCTCATAGCTGACATTACGCACCAGGAGGCTGGAAAGTTCCACTGCGAAGGGCCCAGGAAACGCACCCACACCGTAAGACAGGCTCGGCCCCGGACCCCCGAAGCCTCCCCCAGGCAGCGGCTAGGAACATGGGGTGGGCCTCCCAGCTCTTCCCCTTCCTAGCTGTAGGACCTCAAGAGTCTGTTAACCTAATCCACCCTCATCTGTAAAACATGGGTGAGCATAGTTATGAGGATTAACTGACAGAATTCATGAGAGAGAGAGAGAGAGAGAGAGAGAGAGAGAGAGAGAGAGAGAAACCAAGCCTAATCCCTTGCGTTTATCAGGTGTTTAGCCACTGTTATTTATGCTATTAGAAAATACAAACCCAATACAACCAGCTCTCTCGGAATCTGGTACGCCGCCACCCCCCATGGGAGGAGGATGGATGGGGGTGGGAGCCCCTCATTGCATCTTATGAAGGTGTCAGTGGTAGAGGCCACCAAGGGGTTGGACCAGCAAGTGCCCACAACCAGCCCACAACACTCCCAAGACACCCGGTGGAACTTCTCTGCCAACGTGGCAAACATCGATAACCACTTCTTCCCCACTCGGAATCCAGACTGCGCCTCCAACCTCGAATTTCATTATCTCTGGTAGTGGGGCTTCCCCATGGAAGCCAGGACCCCCAGGCTGGGCCACTTTACCTAAGTAGGTATTGTCCTTCTCATACAGGGTCACAATCTCCTGCCAATCCTGGGTGGGAACAGAAACAGGAAGTGAGCCAGTAGAGCACTCAGCAACCACCTCACAGTTCCATTCCCATACAGGGGAGGCTTGTTCATCAAACCCAAATGCCTCTGTCCTCCTCTGGCTGGACCCACACTTCAGGAGTGCGGCGCCAAAGACTGATCCCAGAGCAGCAGATCCGAAACCCAACCCAGGAGTAGGCTCTACGCTTGGCAGAAACCATGGAGACAGAGAGCAGGTTCAGGAAGTGCTCTGGGTTGGCGTTTCCATGGCAGCCGCAGGGCAAGCCAAGGCCGGGTGGGATGCCTCTCGCTGCACGGGCTGCCATCACCCCCCACTCGCCTTCATGCGCTGGGAAGAATACCGGCCAAAAATGTTCTTGGTGGAGGCTTCAGTGCCTTTGAGCAGGTCCACGATCTGCAGGCAGTGGAAGTAGTGAATGTCTGGGAGGAAAGAGGAGGGCGGCCTATGAGCATGCCAGTCCCACCCCACCCCCCTTGCCCTGCTGCAGCATTGATGGGAGGGGGGGGGCGCGCAGGACAATCAGTATTTACATCCCAAACACAGAGAGTCAAAGTATTGTGGGCAATTTACAGCAAGCAGGGCACTTGCCTTGCACCAAGATTCAATCCCTGGCATCCCATATGGTACCAAGCCCCTCCAGGAGTAATTCCTGAATGGAGGGCCAGGAGTAAGCCCTGAGCACTGCTGGGTGTCACCCCTCTAGTCCCATCTGACCCATCCTTTGTGTTCTCCTTTCCCAGAATTTCCTCTTCTGGACCAGATCTCTGTACCCCAAACTTCTCCTCCATCCTCCTCCATTCAATTCCCAAAAGTCATCCCCACAACATATATTTTGTGGGGTGTCTCTACCATTCTTTGATGATTTCTACAAAAAACTCAAGAGGGGCCAGAGAGACAGTACAGCAGGTAGGGCGCTTGCCCTGCACATGGCCAACCTAGGTTCAATCCCAGCATCCCATATGGTACCCTGATCCTTGCCAGGAGTGAACCCTGAGAGCTCAGAGCCAGGAGTAACCCCTGAGCACTGCCAGATGTAGCCCAAAAACTTTTAAAAAATTTAAAAATTGAAAAACTCAAAAACACTCTACCCCTCCTGCCAAATCCATACTCCATTACTTTAATCTCTACTCTGGGCAAGGAGTGAAGACAAAAGGGGCCTTCCATGGAAGTCGTGGAGTCGGGAACTCAAGCAAGGACGGATGAATGTATACCCAAAACTCAAAAACTTTCATGCAGGGGCAAGACCCTTATGTCAGAGAGAGGCCCCCAAAGACGGGGGAGGCGGCTCAGTAGTAGAGCCGTTTAATAGGAGAGGCAGGAAACCAAGCCAGGTGAGAGAGGGAGGTACAAAAGCACCCACCTCTTCCTTCCCCATTCCCTCAGGGCTCTACAAAAGGCTGCTGAGCCCCTCCTGGGTTGGGCTTTGGTGACCCCAACAGCAGGAACTGTTTCTCACAGCCTTGGTTTGGCTCTTACTTCCTTTCCCACTTGCCATCATTTTGTTACGTACAAGCTAACCCTTTTCCCTGGGAAAAAGCAGGAGCCCAATAAACACACTGGCGCGGAAGAGAAAGAACTTTCTCGGCTCAGCCTGAAAATCAAGGAAGCAGCTCTGCTGCTAACTGCTGCTCCAGGAAAGAGGGGGTGCCAGTCAGGTTGCCCCAAAGCACTCACAGGATCCAGAGAGCAGCTGGGCAATCTCCTCGCTCTCTGGCATGTCCTGGATGGCGGCGTTGATCTTCTCGCGGATGGTCCGCACCAGACTCTGCCATTTCAGGTTGCAATGCCTCCGGTCCACCAGCCAGTCTGGGGGAGAAACCCGTCCCACATGGGAGTTTCCAGCCACATGGCCAAAACCCGGTACTACTTCAAGTGGACGCGCTAAAACTTGGGCTAAAAGCTGGGTTCTTATCAGCAAAGATGGGGGAGGGGTAGAAGAGGGAAGATGGGGATCAAGAGGAGCCCAAAGGGAAGCAGGGGGCTGAAAAGACTTGGGCTGCTAAAGCCTGGCGGCAGTGTGACTTTCAGAGAACAACTGTTTCAACAGAGGGATAAAGAGAAACTTTACATTGGTCCTGACATCAAAGTTCCACTTTTGACCACTCTAAATTCTCCATAATATTTTTGTTTCCACAGGTAATTATATCTTTCCTACTGATGGAGGATGCCGCTTGACTTCCACTTCCTCAGGGCTGGGATTAGCCATGACAATGGAAAATACGAGACGGTTATGCCAAGTGCCGGATGAAATGAACCACTGCAAAGCCCCTAATACCTGCAGCGCCCCAAGGACTAGGCAGCAGGTCTGTTCTTACCCAAGAACTACCCCCTCACGTGGGAATGCCTGGGGATGGCATCTGGGCAGCAACAGCTGGTTTTGTGTTTAGCCATGAGTGGCTGGATGAGCCCATTCACCTCCTGAGGATGGAGCGATCTAAGAGTCTAAGGCTTCCGGACAAATGGTACTCAGATCTAATGATCAAGTCTTGCTGAGGCAAATTTTCCAAAGACAAATCTTTTCCCCACTTTTAAAATAGGGATGATAAGAAGCTGAGTATAAGAAGATAGGGGGCCAGAGCGATAGTACAGCAGGTAGGGCATCTGCCTTGCACGCAGCCAACCCAGGTTCAATCCCAGCATTCCCATATGTTCCCAAGCACGACCTGGAGTGAGTGCTAAGCCAGGAATAACCCCTGAGCATCGCTGGGTGTGGCCAAAAAACCTCCCCCCAAAAAAAAGAAAGAAAAAGGAAGATGGGGCTGAAGTGATAGCACAGTGGGTAGGTAGGGATTTGCCTTGCAAGTGGCCAACCCGGGCTCGATTCCCAGCATCCCATATAGTTCCCCGAGCACTGCCAGGAGTAATTCCTGAGTGCATGAGACAGGAGAAACCCCTGTGCACCGCCAGCTGTGAGCTAAGAAGCAAAAAAAAAAAAAAAAAAAAAAAAAAAAAGGGAAGAAAGAAACAAGGCGGGGGGGGGGGGGGGAATCACAGAATCACAGATCACCGTGTTTGTTACATGACAAGGACTCCTCCTAAACCCTCATGAGCTTAAGTATTGGAATGTGAAGTCCCTAAAACAGCTCTGGGCAGGGAGCAGACCCACTGGGGACAGTCATCCCCTTAGTCCTTTCCATGTCCTGCACTGAACTCATGTACCAAGCACGTGCAAGTGCTCAGGCTGGGACCATGTGAAGCAATGTCGTGTTTGTGTGCCGCACAGTAGAAGCGCATGGACCTGCCAACTGGTCCAAGAGCAGAGGCCTCACACTACTGACCAGTCATGCACTATTGATCACTTATGCATTCCCACTGCTGCTGTCAAAACTTAGAAGCTACAGGAAGAAAAACCCTGTAGCTGTCATAGGACTAGAAGCAAGTCAGACACCATCGTCATCACAAAACTGATGCCAAATGTTATTAATCCAGTGAGCATTTCGCTACCCTCAGACCTCAGCACTTGCCTTCAAAACATCTTTCTCTGGCTCTAAACTGGGGGAAGGTGGCAGGTGCAGACCCTGGTCACCATCAGGTCTTTAGTTTCAACTGATCTAGATCCTTTTTCCTCAAGTAAGAGCTTTTCTTCATCAAAAGGGAGGCAGGCTGGGCTGGAGCACATGCTTTGCATGCAGGAGTCCTAGGTTAGATCCCCGTCACCATATGGTCCCCTGAGTACAGCAGGGGTGTGATCTCAAACACCAAAACCCAAAATACGGAGAAGTGAGGTTTTTCAGTATGACGCAAAGAGCACGGGCACCGGAGCCAGACAGACTTTGATCTGCCTCTCCGTGCCTGAATGACACGCTTTGAAAACACGGGTTAAAACTGTGATCAAACACGAACTCTGTGGTTCCTCATCAAGATGCAGACCCGGCCCCCGACACGTGGAACAGGGCGGGGAGTGAGCTGGTGCCCCAACACAGGGGCTGATGAGGACTCCTGCTGGGTATGGGCTACAGGGCGCAAAGGACCTGGCCACCCCCCGACATCCGGCTGCGTGGGGGCGCCCAGTCCTACCGAGCAGTTTGCTGGTCTGGATGTCGATGGGCACGTGCTGATGGTCCTGTTGGCAAAGCGGGCCGTGAGCGCGCGGGTTATCCCGCCTCCACCGCCCCTCCCGCGAGCCAGAAGGACGGGCCCGGAAGGCCACGCCCGAGAGGAAGCCGGGGAAGTGGGCCACGGACTGATCGGCCGAACCCACTCCGGGGGTCCCAGCCAGCTCCCCAGGACCCCATCAGCGGTCCCCCACCTGCATCTTTCCTCCACTTCCGCTTCCGCTCGCGAGCTCCGGCTCGCCCCCCGCCCACCACCAATCCCGGGCTGCGCACCAGCCGGCCTACTGCGGCCACGTCCCCACTTCCGCAGAGCCAATCCGGGCCCGCGCTCCGCCCCGGCCTGCAAGCCCCACCCGCCGCCGCGCTCCGAGTGGCTGAGCCCGGGAAGGGCGGGACAACAGGAGGCGGCCAATGGGAGACGCGAGGCGGGTTTAGCGCCGGGGAGGGGCGGGGCGTCTGGACGGGGCTGGGGCGGCGGCGCGCTCGCGACAGGCGGCGCTCGAGAGCCGGTCCCGGCCGCTTCCACGCTGGCGGCTCCAGGGCTCTCTGCGCGCTCAAAACGCGTCGTGCGTGGTCCTAGGGAGCCAAACAAGAGCACCTGCGAGCGCTTAGAAACGGGTCCTCCCCGCCTCGCTAGCATAGTTTAGATCTCTCCTTGTTCCTTGTTACTCCCCTTCAATTTATTCAGGAGACATGCCTTGAGCCCCTGTTAGGAGGTAAGATATTTTTAATGCCTTGTATGGAGCCGATTCTCGTTTGAAAATTTTGCACTGCCGGGCGTGGCCCACAAGCCAAAAAGGAAAAAAAACTGGCTACGTGTTTAGAGCTGGAGGGAGGAGGGCCAAGAGAAGCACCTCAAAGATAATATCTAAATTGAACTTAAAGAAAGAACTGGAGCCCAGAAGGTAGCTCAAACAAGTAACTCGCTCCTCGCACCCCAAGGCCCTCTGGGCACTGCCTGGGTGGTCTGAGCTCCCAGCCCCAGGCTCTAAAGCATCTCATGTACCTCCCATGGAGTGGCATGGCCCATCCCGTTCCCTCAGCACTGCTGGGTGCGGCCCCTATTTTTTTTTTTTCAATAAAGAGTTGATGGCCAAAGAGATAGTACAGCAAGAAGGGTGCTTGCCTTGCACATAGCTGACCCGGGTACAATCTCTGGCACCCCATGCGGTCTCCCAAGCACTACCAGGAGTGATCCCTGAGCACAGAGTCAGGAGTAAGCCCTGATGGATCCTGAGCACCTCTGGGTGTGACCAAAAAAAAGAAAAGAAAATTGAAAAGCTGGTGAGAGAGGGATGAAGGGAGATAATGCAGAGAGTGATGAAGATGAGAGAGGCAGAGAGCAACAGGCAGGAGGGGTCCAGAACAAAGTGAAAACGATGAGGAATCCCAGAAGTCTTTTTTTTTTTTCTTTTTGCTTTTTGGGTCACACCCAGTGACGCTCAGGGGTTACTCCTGGCTCATGCACTCAGGAATTGCTCCTGGCAGCGCTCGGAGGACCATATGGGATGCTGGGAATCGAACCTGTGTTGGCCATGTTGGCTGCGTGCAAGGCAAAGCCCTACCCGCTGTGCTATCACTCCAGCCCCCCAGAAGTCTTCTTGTGGTCAAGCTGTGCAGCCAAGGTTTGAGGATGACTCGGAGGAGGCTGCGCGCAGGAGGGCCCTGTCACAGGGGGGTCTCATGAAGAACCTGAGCCTCACCCCTCAGGCAGAGGAGCACTGAAGGTACCAGGGGACTCGAGGAAAGGAGGCACCTGTTGAGATTGGCTGCAAGAAGGGAGGGGGGCTGTGGGAGGTAAGAGGAACAGGAAGTTGCCAGAAATGTATCAGCAGACCTCAGGGCTGGGTGGGGATCCAAGAGATGTCTGCAGGGGAAATGGACCCCATCGATTGACTGTGCGGGTGAGAGGGCTCGTGCCTGGAGAGCCATGCTGGAGACTGGGATTCAGGATGCTGAGCCTTGTGGGGGAGGAGAAAATCTCTGCTTTGAACTCGGAAGGGAGAGTGCCACATTGCTGAGGGGAGACACCCTGTGGAAAGCATGCCGAAGGCACATGGGGCTGTTACCTGGAGTTCACAAGGGCCTCGGGCCTGATTACACCCGGGAGAACCACAGGCTGGTGCGACTATGGACAGAGAATGGCCAGGGACAGCTCCCCGAGGCCCTCCCAGGGGCTCTGCCTGGCTCTAAGTAACCCCCACTCTGTTTCAGCAGAGCTCTGGGACTCCATTCTTCCCCCCCCCCCACATCTGGTTTTTAAGTCACTCCTGACTGTGCTCAGGGCATACTACTGGTTCTACATTCAGGTTCCCTGGCGGTGCTCAGGGAACCATATGGGGTGCAAGGGATTCAACCCACCCACACTGGCCAAGAAGGCAAGGCGAGCCCTCTCCCTGCTGCACTATGGCACTTGCTGCTCAGTTCACTTTTAGTGTGTGTGTGTGTGTGTGTGTGTGTGTGTGTGTTTGTGTAGGTAGGGCAGGGGCCCACATCCAGCGATGCTCAGGGATTACTCCTGGCTCTGAACTCAGGAATTATTCCTGGTGTCCTAAGGGGACCATATGGGATGCTGGTGATTGAACCTGGACTTGCCATGTGCAAAGCAAATACCCTTCCACTGTACAGGCCCCTCAGTTCATTTTTCTATGGCACTGTGTGGTGTGGTAGTAGATTCCTGCATAGTGATACCTGGGACCTTGGACCATTCACCATTCCCACAGCCTCTCTGCCCACCACTTTCTCCCCCATGCTTTGCCCAGCCCAAGACTTAAACACATCAGACAGACATATCTCTCTCTCTCTCTCTCTCTCTCTCTCTCTCTGCCATCCCTGGCAGCCGACCTCCACTTCCCAACCACAGCACGCTTCAGGCCGCTTTCCGGACACTCAGGCTGAGCCTCACACAAGAATGAAGTCCCATGGAACCCAGATAATGCGGAACTTTGTGACCTTGGACTCTGGACTCAACTGACCAGAACAGAGATCCTCTGCTTGCTTCCCCCAGTCTCCGGTGACTCAGGGATCATACCCATAAGCCACACCCTGCTGGCACCAGATAATCTCCTCATCGGCCACCCTCCAGAACTTACGGATGCTCTTCCCAGACAGGAGTATAAAAGGAGGCTCCCAAAACTGTGCCACCGGACTCCGCGCCAGGCTGTGGGGCAGGTGAGAGCCCTCCCCACCCCAAGGGACCCAGCCCCTGCAGCTGATCTCCACTGCCCAACCACCGTCACCTCCAGGCCACTTTGCAGCCACTGCAACACATTATAAGACACTTCCTACCCATTTAATGCCTCTCAGAGAGCCCAGCAAGCTACCAAGAGAACCCCGCCCGCACGGGCAGAGACTGGCAAGCTCCCCATGGAGTATTCGACATGCCAAATACAGTAACAACAAAGGTCTTGTTCCCTTGACCCTGAAAGAGCCTCCAATTGTTGGGAAAAGACAAGTAAGAAGAGGCTGCTAAAATCTTAGGGCTGGGATGAATAGAGACATTACTGGCGCCCACTCAAGTAATTTGACAACCAACGGGATGACAGTGATACAGTGATATTTTAGTAAATTTCGTGCAAGGAACTTGTTCTAAATAAGGTTACTGGGGTTTTGGGTTAAAGTGTGACCTTGATTTGGGGGGAGGTGTCACACTTTAATCCAGCATCCTAGAAAAATGCAAATAGAAAATGCATATACACGTTTAAATTTGGGGCCACACTCCTAGCAGTGCTCAGGGGACCATGTGGTGCCAGGAATCAAACCCAGTGCTCTCACTTGCTAAGCATGTGCTCCAGCCCTTGCAGTCATCTCTCCAGCCCCAAGAAGCCCATAACTCTGTGTAAGTGTAGAATGAATAGTTCTTCCTTCAATCTTTGTAAACTAAGCGTGTGTATGAAGCCTCAATCATTATTATTAGAGAACATGTTAAAGGTTTCCCTGAACGCAGCTCCAAGGGTAGGTATCAGAGACTCTTTGGGACTCTCCCCTGGGAACTTGACTTCCCCCTTCCAACAGCTGACTCAGCCTCCAGGAATTTCTGGGGCTCCCCACAATTCCACAAACACTGTGCTCCGGCTCGGGGCACCTGGCTCGCTGGAACATCCCAAGAGGCCTGGCCCTGCCCCACCTTCAAGGTGCATCTCCCCTCCTTGAACCAACAGGCGGAGCAGAGCAGGGTGCGGGGAGAGGCCCAACCCCAGTGAGTGGGTGGAGGCAGGGACCCCCCAGCACCTCCACCACAGCTGCAGCTTCTGGGTGACTCATGTGGACGGGAAGGCTGACAACAACACTGCCTAGCTATCCAGGGTGGCTGCCCGAAAAACATGGGCGTGGGGGCTGTGGGTGGCCTTCTGCACCGGGCTGGCCTGCCACAAAGCCTCAGAGAACCTCAGGGCCCCGGGCAGATCAGCGCTAAGCAGCGCTAAGTGATCTGGCCGGCATTCGAGTCTCCAGGGGACTGGGTTCTTAGGGAGAGGATCTGGTGGGAGTCTGGCTGTGGGTTTCTCCAGTCTGCTGGTTTGGCCGTAAGGAGGGGGAGGGGCATGGGCTGGCTAGCCAGCTCGGCACAGGGCAGCCCAGAGCCCCAGGGTGCCATGGATGGCAGGTGCCTGGCCCGCTTTTGTTGTAGTGCAGTTAACTTGCTTATTAAGTGATAACCAGGTGCCTGAGCCAAGGTAGATCTAAATGTTTTACAAGCCTTATCTAATTTGATCCTCACAGCCACCTTATAATGTGAGGACTAGAGTTAGTCAGATGTCAAAGCGAGGCAGCCGAAGCTTGGAGAGCTAAGAAGCTGGTCCACGACCACGAACCAGCAGGCAGCTGGGGGTGGGGGGGTCCTACAGGGCTGTGTAGCTCCCCAGCCTGCTTTGTTCTTTTGGGTGGCGTGGGGCTTTTCTGCTGCAGCCCTGCCTGGCCCGTTCCCTCAGGCCTCTTCCTCTTGGTGGCACTCAATCTACAGTTGTTATCCACAGTTGCTATGTCAGACACTTAGAACCCCACCCTTGAAATCCCCGCCCCACCCTCCTAGGTTCTTCCTTACCACACCCCTCTCTGGGCAGGGATACCCATTACTTATCTTCCTGCAATAGCCATAAAAAGAAGTCTCACCCTTGACATTCACATAACCCATTAATTTCACTCACCATCTGTTGATTATCGCGCATAGCTTGTGTGTGTGGAGGTGTGTATGTTTGTGTCACGTCATGTGGTAGCTGCTTGATGGGCCCAAGCCCTACCAATGCAGCTCCGTCAAGACCTCTTGCTGTGTTCAGTGTACTCCCTTGTGGCTTTTCTCCCTCAAGCCC